AAATCAGATGTGGATACTTAAAAATTCCTAGGAACTTTTGGAAAATTTGAAATCACAAAATTCTACCAAAATCAACATCAAAGCTTACTACTTTTTAACTTTATATACGACCATTCCCCACGATAAATTAAGGTCCAGGCTTTTTGATATCATTGACAGCTGCTTTTTCAATAAAAATGGAACTCGTAAATTTACTTACCTTGTCATTGGTCATTTGCAAAATTATTTAATTAAAAACATTCTGATTGTACACACAGGTACTCTCAAGTTGATATTAAAAAGATGCTTGAGTTTCTGATTGACAATATCTATGTGGTTTTTGGAGACCAGATTTTCCAACAATCTATTGGAATTCCCATGAGTACCAATTTCGCCCCGTTATTAGCAAATCTATTTTAGTATCCAAATGAGGCAGACTTTATTCAAAATCTTGTACGTGAAAAGAAGAAAACACTTGCTGTAGCCTTCAACTCTACATTTAGATATATCAACGACGTATTGTCAATTAACAATGCTTATTTCCATTCGTATGTCGATAAGATATATCCCAGTGAGCTTGAAATAAAAGATACCACAGAGTCTGACACATCTGTTTCATATTTGGATATTTAACTAGAAAAAGACGTTAATGGTAATCTAACAACCAAGCTTTATGATAAACGTGATGACTTTAGTTTTTCAATCGTCAACTTCCCTTACCTATGGAGCAATATACCTTCATCACCTGCATATTGGGTTTACATCTCTCAGTTGATTCGATACGCGAGAGCATGCTCTACGTATGAACAATTTCTAAATCGAGGTAAGTTATTGACAAACAAGTTGATGAAACAAGAATATAAGCAGTCTCGTTTAAAGTCGTCATTTCGTAAGTTCTATGGTTAATACAATGACCTTGTCAGCAAGTACAATTTATCATAAGTCAAATGCTGACTGACGTTTTCATACTAATTGTTAGGCCATACTGAATTGTCGACGGATTTTCCCGTTATTACCCGATCATGACAAGGAGCACACGGCGGGTGTGACCGGTCGGCAGGGGATGCTCACTCCTCCATGGCACCTGATCCACCTTTGATGTTTTAGAGGTCCGCGTTTGCTCTACTCCAAAATTTGTATTGTTTAATGGACTTCTGAGCTTGAATACTTTCGTTATCTCCATACATTTTATTAAAAACACATTAAAAAAATAATGGATTTTGAACAAACAATATCATGGTCAATAAATAATTAAATGAATATATTTATTCTTGATAAACTATTTTTTAAACTTTGCTTTATTTCCCAAAACTGAAAATCTTGCCCGTTTGTTTGTTTGTTTGTGTATTGTGTAACGTCCCTTTCGAAAATTTTTCACTCATATGGAGACGCCACCATGCACTTGCCGGTGGAGAGCTGCAAATTTTGACCTATACTCGGCACTCAGGGCCATTGAGCAGTGAGGGATCTTTTTCATGCCAGCATTTACTGCGACACGGGACCTCTGTTTATACGGTCTCATCCGAAGGACCGGTCTCCACGTCCCACAGTGGGATTCGAACCCGCGACGTAAGGATCAACTCCTTACTCCGCGACTCTAGAACGGACGCTCTACCACTGCGCCACGCGGGCGACTCGCCTGTTTGTAAACTAAAAGATGAACATGGGTAATAAAAAGCTACCTTATTTAAAGAAGGACTTTATAAAACCTTTTTAGGCTATTATTTTATAAGAAAACAAAATCATAATGTTTGTTTCCAACCTTTAAAGTTATTTTTTTTAAATAAAGGACGTGTAAGTTTTACACAACTAGACTACAATAAATGTTGAATCTGTAAGAACCCAGATACATTATGATGCCTTTGAAACTTGATTTTCAAGGACAATAAATTTATTCTGACAACTGAATGTGCAAGGTCTATGAACTATAATTGTAAGAAATGAAAAAAAATGCATGAAGAGAGGATACCAGAGTGTGGTTAATTGAGATAGCTGACTCTCGAGATCAGTATAACATCTAACAACTTACAAATTGTGATAACTTGATTCTTGTTTGTTACACTGGAAATTGCTTCAAATTCCAAAACATTTGGATCTGATTGGTAACATTCTGTATAATACAAAAAATCTTAAATTCGTTATAGATTTACCAGCTAGTACATGAAAAAAGTGAAGATAACTAACAGTGATCGTTATAAAAAAAAATCTACAAACAATAAAAGTCTGTGAACAGGGCATAAAACACGAACCCCCGGAAATTCCGGTGGTGGGATCTGGGCCCCGTTTTAAAAAAGAACTTACGACTAAGATCAAAATGTTTTTATGCAAATAACTTTCCTTTTTACATTACTTTGAAAATGGTTTTAATCTTTTTGAAAAGAATTTAGAAAGATATTTTTATGCCAAAAAGTTTTAATAGAAACATAGGTATTGTAAGATTTTTCAAGCAACTTGTTTTTGGTCTTCGTCGTAATTTCTTTTGTAAAACAGGCCCCAAGTGCGAAGGAGGAGAAAGCATCTCCGCCGTGAGCATTAAGATAATAAAATTCATCTCCGATTTCATTGCAAGTCAATCCTCAGTCATTTAAATTTTTCATTGTTCATAAAAAATTGAAAAACAATGTAGATCTTAGAGAATTAGGTAGACCCAGTTCCCCATACACCATAAAGTTTTATGTTGAGGTTTTCAAGCACAAAATATGTTTACAGAAATTAAGATGGAGTTTCTCAACAAGATTAGAACTGTGATAACCCCTTTTATTTAGGAATTTATTAATTGACAACCTTTTTTAAATCTTCTTCTTGGAAAATGAAAATAAATTTTTTAAAAATAAAATGCAAGCATCCTCATTCAATGTTTTGTTTAATCTATGCTTCATTGAAATTGGCAGAAAAAGTAAATAACTCTTTACTGCGAAATATAAAAAATCTTAAAATCTTTTTTTTCTTTTGATTGGAGGAAACAAATACACATTCATATAAATTCTTTATTATGTATGTTGATTAAATTTTATTGGGACAAATGAGGTTCAATATATATATATATATATATATATATATATATATATATATATATATATATATATATATATATATATATATATATATATATCGGTAATATTATTTCCAAGAAAGAAAAACACCGTAAGATAAGTATGGTGGCCAATGAACCTTTTGCAAACCTTATTAAATAAAAACAATTTTATGTTAAGTTTCTTTCTTTCTTATTTGCTTTTCACAGTTTTTTTAACGACCTGTTATAATTAGTTTCGACAGATTCTGTATATGAAATGCTATTTGAGTTAACGTTCTTCGGCTATATATCTGAATTACTTATCTCTTTATGTTATATCTAGGAAAATATGCATAACATCTTCGAATTAATTTCTGCAAAAATATATTTATATAAATTTAGTACAGTAAACTAAGACTATATACAATTTATATCAACATGATATTTTCTGAGTAAAAGAGGAAGGCAATTGCATATCTATGATAATATGTACCTGCTAGTCAATTTTATTGAGGTATCACTATACATTGTGTACAATTAATCCAATGTTTTACCCAATTTTTCTATTTATATTCAGGATCTCATGTTTTGTGGTTATCATCCAATCATGAATTTTAACTTTATTTATTTTTCCTCGATGATCAACTAACAAGTGATTTTTCGATTGCTCAGGTTGAATTTGTTCTCGTCTCTAATCCGAGATGTTAACTTAAAGTATTAAGGCAGGAGAACGGGAGGGTCAATTTCAAAAGAGTCCATTGATGTTGATTGGATGACTCAGTATTTCAAAATACTTCTCGGCCAGTTTGCGATTCTGACTACAGATAAGACTGGATAATGTATGGGTTAATATCCGAGTACCTCTCTATTCCTTAAAAAGAATGGAACAGAGACCAAACCCATTGCTTTTAATAGATTGATTGATTGTATGTTGTTTTACGTCCCGTTCGAGAATTTTTCCCTCATATAGAGACGTTATTGCTTTTGAAGGAATGGAGAGGTGCGATGATATTGGCCACTGTTTTTAATGTTCGTAATTATTGTTTGTCAATCATATTTAAATTTTGTAATTTGTACTCTTATGTGGTAGGAATGAAATGTTTGGAAGATATTTACTTTGTGGTGTGCATGTGGCGATTGACCAGAGGATACGGTGTTCAATACCCTGAAACATTATACTCTTTCTTATGAAAATATATAAGTAAGTTACGTCAAAAGTGGATTTTAATGAAAATTCAGGTACTTGATATTAACTTGTACTGTATTTCTATACATTAAAAAGGAACACATTCATTTATTAATTTATTCTACATTGTTGTCACCGTCAGGGTAGCTCAGTCGGTAGAGCGCTCTCCCCGTGATCGGAAGGTCCCGTGTTCGAATCACGGCCGCGACTGACCTAAGTCGATAAAAATAGGTAGCAACTGTTGCTTCGCCAAGCGCTCGGCACTTTAAAGTGAAAGTCGCGGGTCCTTGATGAGACCTTAAAAACCGAGGGCCCGTGTCATGGTAGGCGTTGGCACGATAAAGAACCCTCACTATTCAATGGCCCTGATTGCCAAATAAAGTTTCTTATGTCCTTTAAAATGATATTTGTTATCAAAATCTCTTACACTATGGATATAATTTATATGTGTCCAAAATGGTACAATCGATATAACTTTCTGATTAAACTATTGTTTCATAAGATGCTAAAAATTGTCACTATCAAAAAGTTATGTGTTATTTGAAAGTTTTGACACATCTTTAAACATATCTGTTTTGGCCAGCAAGAGAGTGGTACAACCTTTGCGTATTCAAGTAGATCTATCTGCATGTAATTAGACTGACTATCCAGTAAAGATTACGTAAAATAACCAAAAGCAACATGCTTTTTCATGTATATTCTACAATTTTAGTACAGTAAATGACTATTAACTATTTTCATTATTTGGACTTAAGCCAGTTGTTGATAGTTGCTTGGATTTCTTACAATGTGTCATGAGTCAGAAAAGAAACAGACAACGTCAAAAGTTTAAAATTTTATTCAAAATATTTTAAATAAAAATACAGTGTATATTATGACAGATTTGACAGAAATTGTGGAAGACGAATGAATAAATACTACTAAGGCATCATCACGTTATGGTCATATCACGTGGTAAGTTAGGAGAAAGCACTATCTCCGATGGGACGTCGACTTTTATAATTTGGCCCTTAATTACAAATGGTTATGCAAAGTACAAAAAATGCACTGAGACAAAGAAAACATGATATGTGCAGAATGAATGTGAGCATGATAAAACCAGTAAAATTATCGTGAAAATGAGGAAACCTATTACCTAAAATGAAAATGATAAGACTATTTATCTACGGAAAGCAATTTAATTTATCATTTTTTATCGAGTGATAATTGCGTTTCAATCAAGATTGAAAAATAAAGAAAAAACTTTCACCAAGACGAAAAGAAAGACAAACAGAAAGCTGCTATGCAGAAACAAATTTGAAAAAGACATTTAGTTAAAAAGATAAAAAGTCACATATACTCAGATTTATAAATGTATATTGAAAAAATATATATATCAGGAACACATAAATATAGCAAATCAGCTCATTCGTCAAATAACTACATGATTTTAATGATATTTCACATCAATAATAGCACTTTCAAGAACAGGATCTTTGCATTTATTTGCAAATCATTGTGACAAATAAATTTAAATTCTATATTTCTAAAAATATTCAAATATAAGAACAGGCCTTAATTTAATAAACAAATGGAAACAATAAATTGACAGTTTTTGGTCAATACACGCCAAAATGTGCTATATTTTCTATTGGTCTGATGTTTCATCAATACATTGAGACAATATATATAGATCATGTTTCAAAAAATTATTCTTACATATTTACTATACATAAAAAGTAAAATGATTGCAATAACAAACACAATGCATGGATTCACATCGCCTATGGCGCCAAACATGTTGAGATTTCAACACAGAAAACAATTATTCATAATGGAAAATATATTAGCTAACGAATTCACAAATAATTCGTTCCTAGTTGTCCTGCCAAGGCAGGGACATTGTGTTGAAAATAAGCGTCATACTAATTGGTTAATACAGGTCACGAGAATGTCCATTCTTCTCGACATAGGCCCTCTTTACAAGCTTGGCATAGTTCGGAGTTGTGTTGATTTCGTGGTTTTCCGGCACGGCGATCAATACGAAGTGGTGGCCGCACAAATCCATAATAAATCTGCCCTACTCTGTTGTACACGTTTCCAAGAACCTGTAATGCACAAATTACACAATCTATGTCAAACTTATACAACTGTGGAGTCTTTTGATATAAAAACTGCACTTTTAAACGTAGAGAAGGAATACACTTTCGATTTATAAATGGGATTTAATAATTAAAAGTTATTTGAAGTATAAAGTTATGGAAGTTGCAATATTTTACATATGTATTAGAAAATTAATAAAACAACAGCAATAAAACAGAATGTTCGAATCAAAATCAGATATGAAATTTTATTAACCGCCAATTAAAGAAGGCAATGAAATGTTCTCTCTTTGCCACCAATTGCATACAAATGGGTGAGTTCCTTTGCTTTTTGACCTGTATACTGACCTTAATAACCTCTTCTGGGTACCACATGGCGTGCTCATATTTGCCATTTTTACATCTCTGACACTGTTGTCCATACAACTTAAACATAACATAGCCCATGTTGTTGGCATAGTTCAACTGGAACCAAAAGATGACACGTCCTTTCATTGACGTCCACCCATGACCACATTCCTGGAGAAAAAGAAAAAAGAAGAAAGTTGGTCAGGTTTGGTATTAGAGATTTGATAGGAAATTTACGTTATAAAAGTTAAAAGTACAACAGTGGACTTTACACATGTAGTAAATTATTTTGAATATGAAAAACAACTTTTAATTAAGACTTGCTGACAGTTCATTGACATAAACACGAAAGTGGTAAGAAAATATACGATCCTTTGAAAAAAATATATCCGAAAAGTTCAAATGTTGTCACGACTGTGAGATCCACTGGACTTGCACGAAGAAAACAAACATAGAAAGGTTTTACAAAAGATAAAGTTAATAATAAAAGATAAATAATTTATGTCTCTGGTGTTACTAACATTGAAAAATCAACCTTTTTAGAGATCTTAAATTATTTAAAATAAATGATGAATAATGACTACAGAATCACGAATCCGGTTGATAAAATCCTGTATTTGGCAATTCAGATTTTTTTTTAGTGTATATTTAGACTTCAGGATATAATGCGACATAATTTGCTCTTCTATCTAAAAATGGATAGTGCAGATGTTCTTCTGATAAAATGTGTATGTACACAATATGTCTTAACAGTGGTTGATGTATTAATAAGTTTGGATAATGTCTCCGGATGATAGAGAGAATAAACAATGTGTACCTATTTGTTTAATCAAGTGCTTTACTATGGTCTCGCAGAAACGCCACGTGGTAGGACCCACTCTGGTGTCACATGTTCTGACACATATTGTGGTGATATTGAGAAATTTCTTAGCTACGGTACCCGAGCTGAAGAGATTTGAAGTTTTCTGTTAATCAGTAAAGGATCTGCTATTAAAGCCTATGCATTAAGTGTGCCAGGCGCACCTAGAGCCAAATCTTAGTTTCAAAACTAAGAATATAAACGTTTTATAGAGAAGTTCATTAATAAATATGATATTATGTGGGAGAAACAATGTAAATTTATTACAAAATATGTCATCAGGGAGAATAAATCTCGCCTGGCAGCCATTTTATTCAAATTAATATTGACCACAAGTGAGGCATGGGCCATCAACCCCTGACAAAAGAAGGAGCCCCACTCCTCGCCGCAGACAGCATATCGTTACCTCTTATTATCACCACAGACAACCATCAAGGTCACCTTACTCGCGACCAGGAGATGTGGACACCGTTGGTTTTTTTCCCCCTTTCTAAATAAGTCTATAATAACCTTATTGTATGATATGTACATCCCAGTTAACCAACAGAACATTTTGTCAGAGGAACACTTTTGAGCTCTCCATGCAGTCCCCGAATACAATACTATTTGAAGGTTATATAGGCACATGCGGAGAAAACGGCTGTGTCAAATCTTCAACTTTGTTCGCCGTTTCGAGACTTTCTCGACGAAACTTTTCATCAAATGCTGATTTTAGGAAAAACTTGAAAGGGGTTAACCAGAAACACAAACGCCTTTCAAGTTTGTGCTATAAAATGCCCAGTTAACTGGGTATATAATAACAATTTGATTAATGGATGCAAATGTAGACTTGAGCAGTTTATATTACGGCTTGTTTTAATGCAACCACATGCTGCTTACAAGATTATGAATATTTACACCGCCACTAGATTTCACGTAAGATGCTTTTGAGGCCACTGAATGTAATTAATATCTAAACTTTCTTTGGTAGACCTAAAAAAAAAAATAGTTGCACGATTCTGTAGCTTTTCCCAAGGTCAGATATTTTGTTTATATACTTTATCCACCTGGACCAAGACCGAGCTGTGAATCCGCAATTTCAGATTTTTTTCCCCTCCGTATCATATCTCAGAGTGATGTACTAGGACTAGTAACATGTAACGGATTCTATACGATCTCTTTCTGAAGCACTAGTGTCAAAATTTCCACATCACGCAAAACGCAGAACTCAAAAAAAGATCTAATAGATATATACACACGAGATAGACAAATACGTGTCCCTACATTATTAACTGTAGGAATAAGCATTGAGAGTATATCATGCGAATAAAACGTGATGAAATTGGAGCGTAAGATTTTATTTCATATACGTCTGAAGATTCATATGTTGTTTGCCTATGTCTCCTTGCTCATTGTGTGACTATTAATCGCTATTACATCATTTGAGAGCAGTATACTTTGTGATCACTGCCTTAATTTGTGCTAACTGGAGTTGGCCAGTCGACATTTCTGTAAAACTAACTTAAATTTAGCGAGAGTGGCATGCCCTGATGACCGTTACGCACCTGACACGAGAATCGGACTTTGGCACTGTCTTTAAAGGTTCTCCATCGGTCGTTTGGTGGACAAAATGTGGGTACAAGTTGCCAGACATGAGGGTAATACTGTCCGAAAAGTCTGTCGAATTCCCCGTGCCATACCAATTCCATCCTGTGGAGGAAAAACAATAAAATTAATGCTATTTTAATTATTTTTATGGATGGCGTCCATTTAATATATAAGAAAATTTTTTTTCAGTCTAAATTAAGTATTTTATTTATGAACTTGTTCATGCATTTCCCTAAGTTTCTACCGCTTTAGTATTTCTCTTCAGAAATTACGAAAACAGTAAATAAAGCAAACAGTTTTTTGGTGGTCTGTATTTACGTTTTGATTGTAAGAATAACTACCCACCAAATTACATTATTATGTGTATTCTAAATTTTGTGCCAGTTAAGATTCGCTCAAGTAAAACCTTTAAACTATTTATTTCAAATTCTACTGGTCGGGTGGAATCATTTTTTCGGCAGGTATTTCTCGCGATTATTCGTGATTTATTGCAAGATAACGATGGCAACAGAAATGTGATGAATTAAACAGAGATAAATTTACCTGTAGAAAGGTGGATAGTTTAAAGGGGTAAAAATCTAGTGCTGCAAAGTAAATGTATTTTATAGGGTACATTCATGTAATGAATCTCTTTTTTTCTTTTTGGAAAGTTTTCAATAAGCACATTTCTGCATTATATTTGTCTTCAATCCTTTAAAAGAGTTACATTCATACGTCATGTGCATCTCTAAAAAGGCGTGAAATAAAACATGTTGAACAAATCACGCATGGGACAAGACAGTTTAACTACACTATAAGGCAATTACTTTAGGATAAGAGACACTAGAAAAGTTCGAGTTCGCAACCTTTATGGTACAAAAACTAACTTATGTTGTGGTCTAATATGCAAATTTTTATTTATGCCGAAGAAAGGGAGGTGGTGGTTATTTGCCATTGTCTAATCTGTTAATTGTTCGTTTTCTGAAGACAAAAAAGACAATATTCGTGAAATTAATTTTCATCTTTTTGCATTAATTTCAGTACATTGTTTGTATGATTAATTAAATTCAAGCGGAAATTAAACAGATGACCTAAGTGACCGTGGTATCGTACTAAGTTACGCTGACGATTGCATTCTCTGTGAAACATGGCTTTGTCATCGTTGGAAACTTGAACATGGATATCAACACATCCTCATGCACATTTATTTTAAATGTGCAGACAATTACATTAGGCGTTTGATGTGTATATCAAACAAAACGGGAAAGGAAAAAAACCGAACAAGTTCGGTAAATTGATATCTAAGGTAACATTGCAAGTCGAAGAGATAAATCATGCAAAACTACCTCATCTGCATACGGTTTTTGACAGATGTACGTCTTATGCATATTTCTTTGCCATATTTTAATCCCTGTTGTCTCAGAATGACATTACAAATCACTGTAAGCATGTATTGTCTGTTCACTTTTTGCATTCTTTGACATGAAATGTAACAACATTTTGGCATTAAACCCATCAGTACAGATTAACAGACTCTACCTACCATCACAGGTAGGTAAAATTGTCCACCATAGATAGGTCTTTTACATTTTCATCAACCGTATCATTTTAAATACTCGTCCTTCTTGTCATTAGACCCGAGTGTCAGCCTTTAATTCGTTGACCATATATTAGTTTTCCCGTTTTATTTGATGAAATTTACGATCGACACGACATTTGAACGGCCATGAAATGCCCATTTTTAATGGCCAATGTTTAGCCTTCTGTATTTAAGTTGAAGTAATACCCAAGGGCTATATAATACTCAAAAGGTCTGGCAGTCCGACCTTCTCAGAGGCTACACTTGTTGATTTTGTCTGAGCCCCTCAATTAAGTAACGCCAACAAAAGACCTAGTCTTCTTTTTAAATGAAAATGCTTACAATTCGACATTTACTACAAAGTACTATGACGGATATTGTAATAATCAGAAACAGTAAAACTTCAGTCATACTTTGAAAAAATTTAAAGCACTAATAAGATTGTCTTGGAATCAATATGTTTGCGATTAGAATTCATCTTAAAATCTGCGAATAGAACCTAAAGTGCATTGTACAGTTATACAGGCTAAATAATATGTACCTTCATCTAAGTGATTTTATTTACTTATAGTGCTATATCTTGGAGTTTAATTGTTATTATAACATGAAGTTTACGTAAATGGACAAAAAATGAGTTGGCTTCGCGACATGAATGTGTTAAAATCTTAACCTGCAAACCTAAGTATGTAAAATCTGACATTTTTGACGTAAATTTCATACCTTGTCATATCTGACAATGTACGCTCATCGCCATGATTTATTAGAGCTAGTGTAAAAATGTACTTTCATAAACCTTGGGACAACATTTTAAATCTCTTCTCCTCTTATCAAGCTGACTTTTAAGAGTCTATAGTAGGACTTGTTGCAGAGAGTGTTAGACTAGCTGAAAAAGTGAGGGAGGTCCGCATCGCTGTCTTTAATGATATGCAATCGCTCATTTTAGAGAACGTCTTCGGTTGAATATAATTAATAACTTTATGCTAATTAATGTATGTCGTTGGGTAAATTAATACATCGTCGCTTGCATAACTTGGCGTCTAAATTCATTTCCCCTTAAAATAGAATTTTATGGTAAAAAACCTTTATGTTCCTGAAAAGTTGCAAATCCCCAATTTTTTATTGCGGTGTTAGTATGGGCAGTAGTTAATGAAATTACGTGTATAGGTTATTTCGAGGTTAGACAATTCAATTAAACACTGTAACAATTATAAATCGCACTGCAACAAGGAAGACGCCAAAGCGACTGACTGACAACTCGTATAGGCCGTTTAGCCAAGGGTCAATCTTCTTGTTAATGCTGTATTTGCACTTTAGTTAATGTACTTTTTCTGAGAGCATCTCTCGGCAAACAAACGTTCGTAAACACGCGAAATCAGACACCCAAGTCTACCTTCAATACAAAAACATGTGTTGAATTATGTACACCTTCTAAATCCATAGTTTCTTCTTTTTTTTACAAAAAGGCATCTTTAATGCTCGATAATGAGATATACGTATAATCATGGCCATTATCTTACACTTCAAAAATTAGATACTGAAGTTATTTAGCAAAAATTAAATGGGTGCGTTTATCTTATTTTTAGAATGGTAGAAAAACGTGCTTTGGGTCTGTAATGTATAAAGTTTTATAGGAATACTTCAGCGTATCATTATGATTTATTACATCTGGAGTATTTCATTGCGGGTGCATATGTACATTGGCATATATCTTATTTAAGCCGACGTACAGACAAGCATAAAAATGACTGCCATTTGTTCACCAGTCATTCCAGAAATGGACGATTTTGCTCTTAACATATTAAGGACTGTGCGTCCTTGTTTGGTTCGGGTGGTTTATAATGCTATTTTGACCTACATATAAAGATAAGATAAAATAATTGTTTGTTTTGCTCTTCTTCAAAGATTATCATATTGAATGAATCCCATTTTTAACTCTCAATAGCAATGGTTTTTGTTAAATATTTAAAAATATACTGGCAATTTTTTATGGCCACTTTTAACAAAACATAAGTGCAATTTAAAGTTTCTAATTCCACTCGCTTTATAATGATCGTGATAGACAAACTCGAGTAATTTTGTATAGTGGATTTTGGCCGTCCCTCCGTTGTTAATTTGTGTCAGAATTTTATTGTATCTATGTATAATGAACAAACAAAATCCAGGACTCTTCCCAACCCAAGAAGCTTCAAATCTTTAAATGACGTTCCCCATTTTAGCAATGTTGTTGACACTTTAGTTAAAACTGTGTACAGGGTAAATTTCTCATTCACTTTTATGTCTACAAACCAGGATTAGTTATCTTTCGCAAGGGATGACACTTTATCAATTGATCCAACAATTTTCTGTTCCCAGTTTAAAAGACATATATAATCTCATCAATTGTCTGATGATTGAGTGATACTAAAAAGACCTGCTTGGGAGGGGGTTTATTGTCTTCAGGTAAATATTGTCACATATCTGATTACTGTTGGTGATATCCTTTTTCTATCATTGTAATCTGGGGTGACATGTTCCGTGTGAACCCTGCTCCCAAGGCTTGTACAGAAAAGACACCTTTTAAATGCATCATTAAATGATAAAATTGCATTTGCTAAGAAATCTTTTTTTTTAAAATCTCTTCATTGAAACAGAAAAATCTAAAATTTTACCCCCAAAAAATATATGTAGACTTTTAAACAGCTGACAAGAAGAAATGACAACGTAAAAACATCTTAGTTCACTGAACTCTCATTAGCAACAAAAGATGTCCGTTTGAGAAATAGATTTGTCCTAGCAAAAACCTTAAATTATAGTTTATTATAATAAATATTTAATAATTCTCACCTCTGTGAAAGGAGGAGACCTAAATCCTTGTCTCCATAATTTATGAGGTGCATAATTGACCCAGGAGCCATCGTTGCTCCCTGGGGCATGGTGGGGAGAGTGACAGTCGAGGTTCCTCCTGCAGGGGCTAGGGCCAGCGAGGTAGTACACGGGTTGAGAGTCATTGGTGCAATAGTGCTCACAGGACTAACCCCTGGGCTTACCACAGGGCTGACCCCCGTGCTGCCAAGACCCGGGTTCACAGTAGGCTGTGTCAGATACAGCATGGTGGGGGATATAAGAGAATCCAGCGGAAATGTTTAGATGGAACTGAGACTGAGATAAATAGACACCGAAATCCCTCTCATTCAAACTCTGTCCTCTACTGAATCACTTGTCGATTGAATTAGATGGAACTGTGTATGGATGACCCCCGGACACAGAGTGACCAGATAACGTTATGTACCACTGTGATAGTCCTCCAGGCGACAGCCAGCTACTCAGACAGATTCGGTTCTCTCTGTAATCTTCCGATGCATTGATCGTCACATTAATTTTTCTTTTCTGAAGTAAAAAAAAATAAAAATTGAAATATTGGAGTCCGTATATGCTGTGCTTTAGCGATTGTCAAGTATTATATGCATTCAGTCCTGTTACCTTTCCCACACAACGATTTTCTGATGCCTGAATTTCAAGTGTGCTGTTATTTATATAGGGTCCCCTGTCAAGGTGCGATTCAGGTAAGTTCAACCTGTTGTCAGTGGCGCGTGAGACGTCTTCTCTTATTTGAAGAAAAAATCATATTACACTTGAATTTATATATAAAAAAAAAATCTACTCGTTTTAATTTTTGAACTTTTACCGGCAAAGTCAGTGCATTGTCATCTTTATTCATCATACCATTCTACTGAATATCTTCTATGCGCTTATCGCATTGCATTAAAAATATTTCATATGGATTTTAAAAACGCCTAATTGATAGCAATGTCAAATATCATTTCAAGAAAATTTGCATCGCTTGCTATATATGGAAACGGAATTCGGAACCCCCTCTCTTAAAGTCAATTGACGAAAAAACAACCCGGAAGTATGTTAAGCAACTGATGAGAAATATTCACGTTCTTGTAAGCAGTGAGCCTTTAGGCATTGAAAGCATGTAATTTTTCACACATTTCAACCTTACAAAATTGCAGACACTTATACAGGATCTTAATTACATTTCGTAATTTTTAGGAAACATTGGTTTGTGGCACATCGTTTGTAGTATTACCAAATTGGGACCTATATGGATACATCTATCAGTAATATTCTTCAAATGGGGTATATATACATGTATATACACTAAGACTCCTTTTATGGTAAATGTTGGAATTGAAAGGTCTATGCAATACTTGTAGGCATGTTGGATGGACTTGAGAAACGTAACTTGACCTTAAATATGGCCCAGTGACAGTAACGAGTATACAAATTTATAATAGTTATCACCTCAACTGTCAGCAGGTGTCGCAAGGGACGGCACGTGCTGATATATCAATGATAGGTCTGGACAGAAGGTGGAAGGTCCCAACCTTGGTCATTTTCTCGCCGACTTCACAAAAGAATTACGGTCTATTCTTAGAGTATTAGATGAAGACGCCGCAGGTTTTTTCTTATCTTGACAGATCAGTCCTCGGATAGAAAAACTTGCATTTTTTTCTCTGACCAGAACAGAGCAGTCATGTGTCCTCCAGTCATTTCCACTCTTGTGTTTTATTTAATTAAAAGTATGGACTTTGCTAAAATATTGAATGTCATACATGTAGAGAAGCGATAAAAGCTTTTAATTTAATTGTACATATAAACTGGCTTTTTTTAAAAATCAATATTCAATAACGGTATTTTACAGTACCACTTTTTAATGTTGATTGGGACCCGGAGGCCAATTCACAAGAATATTGAAAACAAATCCATGCTTATTTAAAAGGTTTCTTTTTTTTCCTTTTACAATGTTGCAAACCTGATCCAGTGGCCCAAGTGAGATTGTCCCATCATGCACTTGGCGTCAGTTGCTGTCGTAGACACGTCCTTCGCAAAATGTTTTCATGCAAAACTTTCCTCTTTTGAAACTTTCTGGCATATTTTCCTGAGACTTTATAATACTGATGTATTAAAGATACTTTTCGTTTTGATTCAATGAAAAACCAGGCGTTTTAACTATAAATATAACATAGGGGTGTTATATGCAGTGTTTTTGCTAATATCTCAGGAAAAGCACATACATGTAAGCAAAATATGGTTAAGTTTAAAACAATTAAGTTAGCATGATCTAACTACGCAACAAGTTTAGCAAAATTCTGTGCACCGATCTTGGTTACAGTTTCTGAATTATAAAACACTTCTGATGATAATCACCTCGAAAACTGATAAATGTAATAACAAAATATAAGATTTATTTATGAATCGTTGATCCCCTATGTTGGAGTTATTGTCTTGAAACATGACAATTTTGTCATTTGTGTATTATTTAAAATATTTATTTGAAAATAATATGAGATAGATGAAACAAAAATGGCCCACGTCACAAGACAAAATCTATATATTTAGCGAATTCTATAGATATTTGATCACTTATGATAGAAACATTGCCCCTGAAGTTTTAAAGTTTTGCGTTCTTGGCTTTTGTCTATTACGGTGGTCACTTGATCACATATCTGCAGCAAATTCCTTAATAACAGTGATCTCAGAATCATCTGCTTTTTCAATAGAAATGGAACTCGTAAATTTACTTACCTTGTCATTAGTCATTTGCAAAATTATTTTGTTAAAAAACAATCTGATTGTACACACAAGTACTCTTAAGTTGATATTAAAAAGATGCCTGAGTTTCTAATTGACAATATCTATGTGGATTTTGGAGACCAGGTCTTTCAACAATCTATTGGAATTCCCATGGATATTAATTGCGCCCCGTTTTTAGCAGATCTATTTTTGTATTCATATGAAGTAGAATTTGTTCAAAATCTTATACGTGAAAAGAAGAAAACACTTGCTGTGGCCTTCAACTCGACATTTAGATATAACGACGACGTATTGTCAATTAACAATGGTTATTTCCATTCGTATGTCGATACGATATATCCCAGTGAGCTTGAAATAAAAGATACCACAGAGTCTGACATATCTGTTTCATATTTGGATATTTTACTAGAAAAAGACAACCAAGCTTTATGATAAACGTAATGACTTCAACTTTTCAATCGTCAACTTCCCTTACTTATGCAGCAATATGCCTTCATCACCTGAATACGGGGTTTATATCTCTCAGTTGATTCGATACACAAGAGCATGCTCTACGTATGAACAATTTCTAAAACGAGATTAGTTATTGACGAACAAGTTGATGAGACAAGAATATCAGCAGTCTCGTTTAAAGTCGTCATTTCGTAAGTTCTATGGTCGATACAATGACCTTGTCAGCAAATACAATTTATCATTAAGTCAAATGCTGACTGAAGTTTTTCATACTTATTGTTAGGCCATTATTTACACACTAAATTGTCGACGTTTTTTCCCGTTATTTCCCGATCATGACATGGAGCACACGGCGGATGTGACCGGTCAACAGGGGATGCTCACTCTTCCATGACACCTGATCCCACCTCTGATGTTTTAGAGGTCCGTGTTTGCTCTTCTCCAAAATTTGTATTGTTTAATGGACTTTTGAGCTTGAATACTGTTCGTTATCTCCATACATTTCAATCAGAATAAAATTTAATCCGCCTGAAAGGTTTAACTTTTACAATTTCCAAATAGAGTGCATACAAGTACATGTAGTAAAGATTTTGTTTTCTTTTGGCTGCAAACAGATGAGCAATTTTGAATCATTGGAGCTCTTTTTTGTACATTAAAGTGTAAACGTATTTTGCCTCATTTTTGTACATAAGAGTGACAAAGGACTGCAGTAAAATTGCAATTGGCAACTTCACAATCCGACGTATTCCTGATATTAAGGTATTGTCGTGCCCTGTATTCTAATCTCTCAAGTGATGCTCTAAATTTTGACGTCATATATTGAGGAAAAAGGACCCATATTTAAGGTTAAAATAACATATTTTGCCTTTGATAAAAAGAGATATCAGAAGTTGTCAAGTTCTGATAAGAGTTTTACTTAATCCGATGTATTCCATCACATATATCAATAATTTTGGTTAAATCGTTTATTTTATTGTGAAATGGGGAGGGGGGGGGGCTTGATTCAAGAATTTCTATCAAGTTGGCGTTACACTCAACGTGTTAAGGTCTAGAAAATTAATAATTTCATAATGTGATGTTAATGATTTTAAAAGGTTCTGTTTTGTTGGCGTAAAAGACTATGAATTATTAATTTTGTATTTAACAAATTCCTTCGCACTTGGTGATATATATTTGAATACCAGGTATGTTATGTCATCGTTAGTGTGGAGGCTATGCCTTAAAGAAGAACAAAGTTCCATGTGTTTCACGTCCTATCGCGAACTATGCACTATCTTGCCACATCGAAATTCCAAAGCTTCTTTTAAAAAATGTTTGGAAACATAGGAAGACAACTGGAGATACTCATTGATTTTGGTATCAACAGACCTGGAGTCGTTAGATTCCATTTCCATGTAAACTCGAAGCTGGTTTATTCTGAAAAGGTCAAATAATTACATGAATGTATTATGTACATAAAGCTACATATTGAGTCTTTGTTATCTTGTCCAAAGAACTGGATGAAAAATAGAGATTTATATCTTGTTTTGCCTTAGATGTCTTTGAAAAATATATCAAAGTATCTAATATGCTGGGCAACGGAAAATTCTTTTCATGTCAAGGAGTAGAAGATACATGTTGGCAATATAGATATCTATAGAAAGAGAATATGTACAATTTCTAATGGGATTGATATGCATATTATAAAATATATCACATTTCCTTGTCTCATGCTGATTTGGAAGCATTACAAAGAAGAAATATGATAAAAGAGTGAAAAAACACCCGGGTAATTCTTAAGCAAGACATGAAACACAGAAATTCAAGTACGTTCATATCCCTCAAAGAAGGCTCCCTGCAGAAGAAAAGCTCCGTTCTAGTTGTATGGTGCTAAAACTCAATAATCTCTCAGGATATACAGATGGCATGTATGTTGCACATTCTTGCACCCTTGGATTTTATTTCCTCTTCAGTGTTACCATGCCCTAACCAACTATTTATTAAAAGTGAAAATACTCTGATCCCAGCTTGCTCGTCCCCATCGGTCGCTAGGGCTTAGTCAGAAGAGCTTTGTCTTGTGCAATCTTGTCCCCGCAGGTTTGATAGATGTGTTATTTACATTAATCTTAATTATACAATATCTGCTCAGGTAATGTTTATCTTTATTTTTCAATCGGGTTGAATTGAAGAGTGTGTAAACTTTCATTTGGTAGGTCTTGTCAGAAAATGTCAGGCCCGTACTATATAAGACAGTCCAAGACAACAGTTTATTACCACGAATTAACCCTGAGAAGTTTATATCTGTAGGTATACCAATGATATATATTTTTTGGTATTGTGTTTGCGTTGAGTACAAAACCATTAGATACATGCCAATTGCCTGCTATTGCACATACATGTGTATACCGAAGATTCTAATTTGAAATACTGACTGTGGTTTTTCTTGA